TATATATATATATATATATACATTTTTAAATATATTTCAAATTTGATTGATATAATCACGATGATTTCTTGTCGCTACGCTGTTAATGAAATATCAAACAACACACACAGTGTATTTATGAAAAGGACTTGCAAGTGTCTGAATATCTTTTTGAGCAAATATATTTGTAATTTCTTGTAATATCTTAAAATAAGCGTCCTATGTAGCACACGTAATATACTCTTTACCCAACCAACTGTAAGATTTTCCTAAGACCTAAAGATTATTGTTTTCTGGCGGCTAGACGTTTGATGGATCACGTAGTAAAAGAAAACATAGGTTGCAAAAGCGTGAACGCGATGTTGTTTTGAAAGGCCGTCTTAAATCACGGACCGAATTAGCTCGGGTTGCATAAGAAATGTGGCTAGATAGTCGCAAGATAATTATTTAAGAGCGTAGGAAGTAGTACTGCAGTGTCGGTATCACTTCGTGTCATTATAAAATATGAAAACAATTTAAAGTAGACAATTGTACGACATCATTCCACGCGTTCGTGTATGCGAACGCTGAAATACGTAAAATGTATAATTTCTATCTCAAAGGAATGGAGGTGAATTTTTCAGAAGTCAACTCCCAACTTCATTGTTCCTTAATTATTTATATTACTCATGAAGTGACAACTGCACACTTACGAGATCGAGAATCTCCCCCGTAAATTTTAATGAGCAACATTTGTGTTATTTCTCTGCGTTTCCAATTCATCGATGAGACTTCCGAAGAACAGCTCGATCTTACGAAAAACCTCGAAAATCGTATCGTATTATAAGTATAAAAGATTTCTACGATTATTCGCGTTATTCGATTAAACAATATTCAGTCGAAATATCGGAAATCGGAAATTTTTCAAGTGAAATTTTTACGCTACACGAGATCCCGATTCTAAACGCGGCATTGCAATTAGCATCGATACAGTTAATCGAGGATTGTTAATCGAAAGCATGAAATATTTACTTGCGGCGAAACAGCGATGACGCAGTGCCAAGTATTGGCTGTACACGCCGAGGAGAAGTAAACCGCAAAGACGCCGGATTCGACGTATGAGAGCGTGCTATTCATCCGCATTGCCATTTTTTCCATAGTTGTGCTGGCACGCGGCGCGGCAGAGATTAAACCGAGGAAACCAGCGAAGAAAGAAGGCGAAACCGGGAAGGAAGGAAGCTGGAATGAAAGAATGCTCCGGGTCGCCGCATTCTTTCTCCCAGCCAATCGCAGTCTACTGACGAATGTCGCAAACACGTAATTTCTGTCTGCCTGGCGTGTCACCAACTTCTGGCAAGTGGAAAATATCCCGGAACACAGATGGAATTCGCCATCACATTCGCCGAGAGCGAGTGCTTGAACTCGTCGACTCGTTCGAAACGATTTAGAGGAATAATTTCACTTCGAACGTCTGCAGTGCAGCTCGAAGTAATCGAGAGAAGAAGCTAGCGCGGCGCAAACTTTGGATCAGATATTTTTGAATAGGCAGAAAGTGCCAACATTGTACGTACGTAGGTATAATAATAAAAACCTTCGTATCTATGGATCGAATATCCGCAGTTTCACTCGTCGCCTGCGGTTTACGGATGACTATGATTTCACGAATTTATCAATGGTAGTGTAAACATAACCGTGAATTCCAAGATAAGCGAAGAAAGCAATATTCGATCAGAATTGGACGCGGATGATATAGAGTTTCACGCGTGAAAAATCCAATGCCAATAATTTCACGTCAGAATGACACGATAATTATATGGGCGATCAACGCCCATCGAACGTGAATGCAAATAAGCGATATCCGTTTGCGCAAATAGCGCGCAACCGACGAGACAGAGAAAGCAATCAATCGGTGCAAAGCCCTAGTAGCGCGATACCTGTAAAATCAGCCGTGGAAAACTGCTACTAAATCTAACTAAATCAGCAGAGCCTCAATGTTGCGAGACCAACTGCACGAAGCAACGGCAGACAGTTGGAAACAACCGCAGGATCGGGCAAGCAACCACGGTGTTGAAGTTCAAGATTTCAAGATTCCAGAGCGATTTGTGGCTGCTTTCACGATCATCACAGAAACTTCGAGTTCGAGTTCTAAAGGTCTCTCCACGTGCATCAAAGACAGGCCTCGTGATCCTGAGGCACGGCGCTCGGTAATCGGGGGATTACGCGCTTTATTTATAGACGTTATTCAGTTATTTCCCGCCGCGAGGTATTCTTGGCTGATGCAGCGAGGGAATAACAAAAGAAAACAGCCCAGAGATTGGTGAACGTTACAGCCTCGAGGGCTTAAGAGATCAGTACTCGCCGCTGGCCTTAGATGGAAGCCTCTCCGACGCGATATAGTTGCACCCTATTTCTTTTTAAATTTATGACCAAGGAATTCGGCCAGATTCGAAAGCTCGCCGACTTCAGACTCAACAAAGTCCTCGAAACGTTATTGTACGTCCGTGCGTTGTTTGTTCGTTGTTTCACGTAACATCTGCAATCACATCTACAGCCTGTATTATTGTGCTATATCGATGTTCGTCATTGGTCGTAACTATCAATTCCATCTTTTATCGAGGGTGAAACAGCATTCACACGCTCGCACGCAGTGAATGAATTTCTATCATCGTTTTTACCACCGTAGAATAATTTCTCGCGAGAATTTATTTC